ATAATACTTTTAGTTTCCCGTGGAATTCCAATTTTAGTAGTTATTTTTTAATTCATCTTTTTTTATAGTTTCTACAATTGTTTCTTTTTTATTTTCAAACATAAATGAATTAAAAACTAAAAAAACTTAGGAACATTTGTTTGTTTCTTATTGAGTTTTTAGTTTTTAGTACAACAATTCAAACCTTATGCAGTTGAATATGTTAAAATTTATTGATTGGTGAATGAAAGTTAACGGAAGAATTCATAGTTAAAAAACGATGTGATAATAAAAATAGTATTAGATAAATGATTTTATTATTATGAACATGTGAATGAACGAATAACAATTTTATTGAAAAATACGTTTTAATGAATTTAATTTAAAGATATTATTAAAACTTTGAATGAAATAACTAAAAAAAAAATATAAAAAAATAAAATATATAAATTCTTTAATTGGTGAGTGGGGCAATGATATGGAATAAAATTTCAATAGCATCCTTTTGGAGATAAACTAGCGCGTAGCCCGTGCGATGCACGAGATTGTATATTTTCCTGAAATGTTTAACGTGTGAAATATTAAAAATAATATAATTTATATATATGTAACAAAACTAAATGGATTGCAAAGAAGGAAAAAAAATATAAATTATTGAACACTTTCATTGTGAAGTAAAATTTGTGAAGCTTTGATATATTTGATTATGAATAGAAAAGTATGAAATACTACCTGCGGACCGTTAGAGATAGATGAGAAGATTTACTTAGAATATATAGAATAAATATTGAGATAATGATTTACCTTTTACTTAGTATATATAAAATAAATATTGACATGATATGAGAAAATTATGACGAATTATGACATAAATTCGTTTAGAAGTTAGTAGAAAATATTCAAAAATTAGATTTATTTTTTATTTTTTAAATCCTTACAGTAATTCGTACGCTCCTTTTCATACGCTTAATTTATCAATTTTACACATACAAATCAAAATTAATGCAACTCGAAATGTTATATAACAAATAAAATGAGATTTTTTATCTAATATTTAGTATATTGCCGGAAAATCTTTTATAAATCTTATTCTCTTTTTATGCACATAGATATTAAAGAATGAGTAAAAAAATTATCTAAATATGTTTAAAAGTATCTAATATTATATGTGTTAACAATGTTACAACCAAAAGACATTAAGAATACGTAGACTATTATATAACATATGTGAAAGTATTAAAATATTTTATATTATTATTGAAAAATGTGAAATTACCTCAATTTTGTCTAGACTATTTTATAAGAAAAATATATATACTTAAAGTTAGCATACACACATATATATCCTTAAAATTTGCAACATGTTTAAAAGTATATATAATTTTATATATAAAAACACGTTTAAAGTTTACATATTTTACAAAAATTAGACTGCTCTCAGTTTATATAAAGTTTGTTGCTCTCATATTCGGATAACGTATTATGCATTTAATGAAAGCACCCTACGATACAAATTTATAAATATTAATTAAAATAATTTTCTAAATTATATAAAATTGAAATAACAAAGCAAATATTACTTGTTCATCATGAAAATGCCTTACAGCTCTCCTGTTCGTGATGGGTTTCATGCGGACTGCTAAAAAAAGGTCTGTTTCTTTTGTTAACGGAATCAAGTGTATCCCAGTCTGGAAGTATTATATTGTATATGCGATGAAAAAGTATTCTCTCTATTTTTTTTTCTCTGAACTCGTGAATGATGAGTTGTAATGGTGGTAGTGAATATCCTTTTATACAATTTTTTATTAACCAAAAGTGATAAGATAATTATGGATTGTATTTGGATAGATAGTAAGTCCCATGATTTTTGTAACGGACAATCAATTTGGATAGATAGTAAGTCCCATGATTTTTGTAACGGACAATCAATTTCACATATTTTTTATTAACCAAAAGTAATAAGATAATTATGGATTGTATTTGGATAGATAGTTTCACATATTTTTTATTAACCAAAAGTAATAAGATAATTATGGTTTGTATTTGGATAGATAGTAAGTCCCATGATTTTTGCAACAATCAATTTCACATGCTTAATTAACGGAAATATCATCATTATTAAGGAGAATATCCATTTGCTTAATTAAAGTAGAATACATAAATAGAAAGTAAAAAGTCAACTCAATTATTTTTAAATTTCTAAAAAAGGATTTTTACATCAACCTTTATATATATATATATATATAGATAGATAAACAAATAATAACATTTTAATTTTTCCTTATATAAATTACACGCCACCCATTGTCCGCTAAAGTGCCTCTGCATCAAAAGTGAAATTTGTGAAGAAAATCACACAGAGTTTCGGATGACGATTTCTTCCGTCGATAGTTCATTAGACTCCGCCGGCAGGTGAACTCAACGCACCCCATTTCCCTTTTTCCATGTCATGCTGTGATATTTGATCTCGATTTTTCTTTTTCGTTTCTTTTTTGTTCGATAAAAATTGGTTCTTGATTTTATGCGATGACCTCATAAACTCGATCATACCCTCATTTTCGATTCTATTAGATTTATGCTTTCGAATTCATAACTGGGTTTTGTTTTTTATGTCGTATTTGAAGTCTTGGTGTGTAAATCATTTACTCTGTGTGTGTGTTTGTGGCCGATCATTTTCTTTTAAAGTGTGGTATTGTTTATTTATTTATTTGTTTATTTGGTTTTATCTTACGGAATGTTGATGCTTGATTTGGATTACAGCACTTCACGAATCGAAATTTACAAACTGACTCATCATCCTGATAAATACTTAAAGACTCATGGCAAAATTGTGAGATGGGTTTAATTCGTTACACAATGTGCCATGTTTTGGTTGTTCTGAATGTGGGGTGGCCACCGTGAAGATAGCGACAAATATGCATGTTCATGACTGCAACATGCATATACAATTTCTATGTACTTTTTGTTCATATTCAAGAAACAAGGATTGGTTTTCTCATGCTATAATCAAAGATTGACTGATTATTTCGGCTACTTGATAGTTAGTTGATCACATCCATTCTTAATTGCTTGAGTCTGAGCTCAAATGGGCATGCCCAAGTTATTTGGATCAAATCATAAGTAGGGTTGGCAAATTGTGCTATCATGTCGTGTTTTTGTGTTATCTATTTTGTTTGATCATAAATATAATAATAAAATTTGAATTTGATGCTTCACATGTGTTTCGTGTTGTGGCGCCATGTCATTTGTCTCTATAATCATGTTTTCTAATCGTATTGTGTGTTGTGCAAGCCATAGCTACCCCTAATCATAAGGCCACTTCTATTTGTTTTTTTCCTAGAGTGATGTCATCGTTGTCCACACTTACTGGTTTGATTTCATCCCTATTAATATGATTTTACGGAGATGCTTGTATTTGATCGCAAGTTATATAGCAACGGTGAAGTACATTCTTTCTCTTTGTACCAAAAGTAACTTTGCAAGATTTCGATCCTTCATTTGTAACAAATATACCTTCTCTTAACGAAAATTCTCTTGTCCATACCGAAACTCTAATTCAATTACTCATATCTTATCTCATCTCTGTTGACACTTGCCCTTTCATTTTCACCATTTGAAGTGTAAAGTACCGAACATTCCCTAATCTATTAACTTACAGCGCTAGTTCTCTCTTGGAACTTGCCCCACTTGAAGCAGTATTATTCGACGTTGATGGCACGTTGTGTGATTCAGACCCCCTTCATCATTACGCTTTCCGCGAGATGCTCCTCGAGGTTAAGCTCGAATTTTACTCGTTTGCTTTCATTATATCACGATAAAACAAACACATTCTGAACCTAAATTTTTTCAAACAGATTGGCTTTGACGGTGGAGTCCCTATAACAGATGAATTTTTCATCAAAACTATTGCTGGCAAACATAATGAAGATATTGGTCGTGCTCTTTTCCCAGATGATCGCGAAAGAGCCGTGAAGTTTCTTGATGATAAAGAAGCCATGTTCAGAAGGTTCCTTTCGCCTGAACCCAAAAATACATGCATTTTGTAGTCTTATCTTACTCCTCCCTGTAACTTTTTTCCATCTACAGGATAATTAAGGATAAAATGGAACCTATAAAAGGCTTATACAAACTAACGAAATGGATCGAGGATCGAGGGTTGAAGCGTGCTGCCGTGACTAATGCTCCTCGAGCAAATGCCGAGCTGATGATCTCATTACTCGGGCTTTCGGATTTTTTTCACGCAGTTATTATCGGGAGTGATTGTGAACGAGCAAAACCATTCCCAGATCCATACTTAAAGGCGCTTGAGGTGCTCAATGTGTCTAAGGAGCACACTTGTGTATTTGAGGTTAAGATGCTCGAGTTTTTTATTTTCTTCTTGGTTTGGTTTTTTGTACACGTATCGTTAACTTTTTTNCACTCTAATTTTTTTTATTTTTTTTTTTTAAATGTGAAGATTGGTTCATCCTTGATGATATAATAACCTCACTCTAATTTTTTTTATTTTTTTTTTTTAAATGTGAAGATTGGTTCATCCTTGATGATATAATAACCTCACTCTAATTTTTTTTATTTTTTTTTTTTAAATGTGAAGATTGGTTCATCCTTGATGATATAATAACCTCACTCTAAAGACCTTATGATGAGAATAAAAGGATATTTGTTGACGCATTTTCACTATACGGTTTTTTAGTGTGGAAATTACAAAAGTTTTTCCAACAAAAATTTGAGGGCTCGTGGCTAGCCATTGGGCGAAGCCCAAAAGCTCCCTCCAATTAGTGCTGTAAGCCAATTGAACGAGCTGAGTTGGGGGCTAGCTCGTGTTCGTCTACGTTCGAACAATGGTTGTGTTAGTTCGTATATTTTTTAAGCAAAAAATCGTGTTCGAGCTTGTTCGTCAAAGTTTGAGTTTGTTCGTGTTCGTATAATTTAGGAAATAAACGTATTTAAATATGTTTGATATTTTGATTAACTCGAAATTTATTCGTTCGAACTCGAAAATAAAAAAATATAATAAAAATAATTTTGTATTTTATATTTTTTTTATTAAAAATATCATGTAAATACAAGAATAAAATAAAATTATATTAAATTAAAGTTCGGTTAACGTTCGCGAAACTCAAATGTTGAAATTCAACGCCGCAAACCTTTTAGTTATAATCAAAATTCAAATATTGTCCACAAGTATATCTTATAACAAAAATATCACAAACTCATCGTTTCATGATATGCTAATCTTACGTCACATTAGTTAGTAAACATATTATCTCGTGTCCGCGTATTGCAGCGAGGTTGTATATTCAAACATATCATTTAGCGAGACATAATTAGGAAATCCAAGTCAAACAAATAAAATTCCACATAGGCATATTTGTTTTTGGATTGTGTCATGCTATTCAAATTGTAAAAGAAATAAATAAAAATATAAATGAAAGTATTGTATCAATTAACCTAATTAAAAAATGTTTGTTTAAACTTGCAAAATTATATCAAACAACCCTTATTTTTATTTACTATTGTTTAGTTGATAAAAAAATTAAAATGCAAAAAAAAAATAAAAACAATAATTTGTACAATTCTCACAACTTCCTCGAGATGTGATTATTGATATTAATTACGAGAATGGCTATTGTTGCACGTGGTTCTGAAAGCTTTAACCGTTTGAGCGACCGACCCGCCAGCAGAAGCACGAGAATGGCTCGAGCATAATCTTGTCGGAGTGTTTTACCTACGATAAACCTTAATATCCCGCAACTAGGCTTCGACCTCCCTTATTGTACCAAAACAAAAAAAAATTACCATATAGCAATCAAATTAATCATTTTTTTCCCTCCAACTTTCTTCCACACATGCTTTAATTCAAAAGGTTAGAAAGTTTCACACTATCGAAACACAAAATGTCAAAATGTTCAAGAAAAAAACAGAAACCAAACAGGTCCTTAGTCCACTCAAAGTGGCGGCAACTCTAAACGGACCGACCCAGATTTCATTTTCATTTTGTTATTTCCCGCCTAAGCCCTCCCGCCCTCAGCCTCTAGTCTAGAAGGACCTCTATGCAAATCCAGTGCTTTTAGTAAAAGAACACTCTCAGATCTGATCCGACCACCACTCATGGGTGTCCCGCCGGAGAACTCGGAGCTCGGCCTCCAACTCAGCACGAATCGGCTGACCACCGCCGCCTGGCACGTCCTCGATCCCTTAATCCGGCGCCGGCGCCCCGCCCGGCTCTCCGACCTGGCTACAATTTTTGCCTCTACTCCGGAGTTCGTACGCCTCCTCTGCTCGCTCCCTGATTATCCTCTCCGATTGGGGGATAATCTCTCCGTCACGCTGTCGCCGCTGGGAATCATCACGGTTGCAGCTCGTTCGGATGTGATTAGGAGATACCTGGATTTTCCACAGACTGTGCCGCGGTTGTCTTTAGATGTTCCGTTGAATGAGATAGTGAGGACGTACTATAGGAAACGGAAGAGGCTGAGGTTGGAAGTTGTTGATTTATCGCCGCCGGAAAAGAGGAATCGTTTAACTAACGTTGAAGGTAGAGGGATTTTACTGATGCTCCCAATTTCTCTTTAAATCTATCTGCTTTTAAACGCTAGTCAAACAAGTCACTATACTTATGTTTCAAAATTTCTTTTAATGTATCCTTGGTTTTCAGTTCCATTGTAATCAGTCTCCCCCTTCATGCTATTTTGATGGTGATTCTGTTTATTATTCCGGCAGATGAGATTAATTTCAACTGGTCAACTATGATAATGATGTTGGGTGGCCCGCTTCAGAATGTTCATACTCAGGTAATTCCTGGCGTTGTTCTAATGAGCACGATTTATGTGTTATTGCTTAACATATAAAATATAGAATAGTAAAATGTAGCTGCTCTTCTGATTCATATTAGGTTGGTGGTTCTTTTAAATAATGAACTAACAGCAAACATTAAAATACATTCCACTAGTAGTAGAATGACACCTTTGTAAGATTGTTAATATTAATTAATTTAATGTATTGTATATGAAAAACTGATAACAAATAAAAAAGTTATTAGGTTTTTAAAATTTTATAATTTAAATTGGATAAGTGTTTTATAATATATGAAGTCCCAATAGGGATGGAACAAGCAGTGGAGCTAGCTTGAATCTGCCCTTGTGTCGGCAAATTAACTAGATTTATAAAAATTAACTAAATCTTAATTTAGGGCTTGTTTAGCATATTGGACAACATAAGAGGGACCATAGCCCGAGAATCCAGATGTTTTGATAAATCATGGAGTAGGTGATATTTTATTAGCCTGCCAAATATTATTGCATACCAGAACATCATTCAGAAGGTATCTCCGGGAGCCACTATTTTGATCCATTTTTGCCGACTCACCCTACATAATGGAAATGGATACTTGCTATTTGTGCAACTGTCTGTCACTTCCGAGATCCACTTCCAAGTGCTAGGGAGGTTAGAGGAAAATGAATATTCATATAAGTTGGCTATGAGAAGATCATTAGGAGCTCAGTTTTTATTTTATACCCTTAACTTCTAAGGACTGCTTTGTATGTCTCATTATTGTAGCATAAGAAAATGCATTAATATTGTTATATCAAGTGTATTCCCAATGAACTCTTTATTTTGTACTCGTAACTGAAAATTAAGAAATCGAGAGGTTTTAACACCTGAACTTAATATGTAGCCAACAGAAATGCTGTCATTGAAAATAGGTATAGGTCCGAGACAGTACCTGAATCAACTCAAATGTCAGAATCACTGATGATATACAGTTATTCCATAATTTATGGGATTCGGGTCGACACATAATCAAATTGTAAGCAAAATTGCAAATGCTTTGAATAATGTTACTGAACTGTTTTCCAGTGAAATTAAATCACCTTCAAAATATTGTATCCTGAATTTCAAGTTTGAGTCATGTTTTTAATCTATAGGCTTTAATGTGTAATGATGCATGGAGTTTGCATGCGCCCTCGTAAGTAATGTGCATGTGTGCTGCTACATAGTCTTTTATGACCTTGCTAGACTTTTCTAAGGATATTTACTAGTGTTCATAAATCACAATACATTAGTTGCTTTATAGTCATTATTTTATTTTCTTGGAATCCAGTCTCTATGGCTGTCTTCAAGTATTATTTAGTATCTCAGACCCATTTGCTACTCTTAACTGTATATTGATTGTTGATGAACCTCCAATTTTCAGTTTATTCGGAAACCACCTATCTTGGAATGTGATAATGGGGATTTTGAAAAGGTTATAGAACCAGCCATGTTTACAGAGCCAAGTTTCGGACATGTGAGCTCTGACAATGAAGATCTTGAGCACAAGTATGATGAGATGGGAGTCAAATATCTCCACGAAGAAGGGCTTGGTATTTCACATCAACAGAATTGCACTCCATTTCAAAGTATATCTCCAGATACACACGAAATAGAGGCAGAACTGATGATAAATTCCTTCAATCTTTCACAGCTGCCACTTCTACCACATGTATTAGGAAATTCAGGAGGGTGCGAAATTGGTGACCTTTATGTTGCAAATTCTATTGATTCACTAGAAGAGCAGATGATAGATTCACATGAGGAAAATGAGGCTGTTATTCAAGGGTGTCAGTCATTAACTGAACATGTGAATGGAAACACAAAGGAAGTTTGCCTACTCGATCCTGTTACATCTGTAGGCCATAACCAAAATCAGCCAACAAAGGCCACCTTCAAAGATATATCTTGCTTAGATAAGCCTGGGGAGGTTCAATGTAATGCCAACAACGAAGCATTTCTTGGACCTATAACTGAAGATCGTTTAAAGTGTCAAGGAGAACTGCAAATTCCCCCCAGCAGACCGGCACATAAGGATGGAATGTGTGACATGGGAAACTCTATACCCCCCAGCAGAGAGAACTACAAATCCCCTCATGATAAAGGCCCAGAACAATTAAAATTATACAAGAACCTGACTGATAAGAAGCAATACATGAAGTTGAATTACATGAATAATGGAAAGAGAGAACCATTCCTGGAGAAAAGGGAAAAGGCTTCCTCTGTATCCAACGTAAGTTTACATCTCGGATTTCTGGTTACACGGTGTATTGAAAACTCTACTATATTATTGTTATACTTCTAAACTAACAATGATGCACTTGTTTTAGAATCATAACGATAAAAAACCTTTTCCCGAGTTTGAGTCTTTCGTAGTAGAAGAAGAAGAGGGCTCAGGTATGATACTGAACTGACAATGGTGATAAATCATATGAAAGTAGTGTTTTATTTTCTTTAGACTTTTAGTAGTGGCTGATCTGTATTCATCTTACCTGCACAGGAGGTTATGGTACAGTTTATCGAGCAAGACGAAAAGCTGATGGAGTAACATTTGCCATCAAATGTATGGAACCTACTTTCTCTTTGTAGTTCCTCTTCTAGGTTTATACATTCATTTATCTCTCTTACTCCTTGGAATCATCAATGTGAAGAAAAACAACTTATTCTGAAGAAGGTAATAATTCGCTTTTGGTGAAAAATAGACAGCAGTAACTCACTAACCCACTACAATAGCATTTGCACCTTGTCACTCTGCCTACTGAAAGTTGTCTAACTGATGGTAAATTTTTTGACTGTGTTCTCTATTAGCTCGGTGCTGCTTTTTTCTTTCTTTTTTTTTTTTTCAACATTTATCATTTTACTATTGATAGATCCTAGAAACTTTTATTCTGATGTGAAAGGCTAATATTGCTGAAGCCTGCACCTGTGACAGATCTACAATTCCTGATGTATAAGTTCCTCTTGAAGTTAAGACAATTAACTTGACAAGATTTTACCAGTAACTTTTTTGCTTGCTATAGAATTAATGACTTGGTAATTGTTGCAAAAAAGGCACTATTTGTGAGGTGGCGGCAGTTTTTGGCTATTTTTTAACTAACAAATTCTTATTATATTCTTTTATCTTAAGCCTTTTTATATTTATCTGTCTCCCATGAAACAAAATAGACAAATAGATAGTTTTGCAGTTCCATAAAAAATTAGATATAATACTCAACCAGTTAATGTTCCTTATCCACTTGTTTTCAGGTCCTCATGTTAATGCAAACAGAAATTGTGTGATCAATGAGATGAAAATGCTGGAGAGATTGCGGTAAAAACATCATATGTAGAATATATCTAATCCGTAACATGGCATCAACACTAATGAAATTTTGCTGCGTACAACATTAGTTACAGTTTGCTCTATAAATTAATGTTAATGGCAGGGGAAAAAACTTTGTGATAAGATATGAAGGTTCTTTGAAGAGTGGGAGTGCTGATTGTCTTGTTTTGGAGCATGTTGTGCATGATAGGCCTGAGGTAGTCAGTTAATCATCTTTGCACAAACATTACTATTATGTTTTTTCCACCTTTGTAACTTTGTTTTGAACCACAGAATTTAAGGAGAGAAATTGACATTATTCAACTACAGTGGTATGGTTATTGTCTGTTCAAAGCCCTTGCAGGCCTACATAAGCAGGTAAAATAATTTACAAGACATGCATGTATCAGCATGCGAAACAGGATACTTTATAATAGAAGGGTGCATGCTTATATTCCTTCTTATTTTTACAGGGCATTGTTCACAGAGATGTTAAACCGGGGAACTTTCTTTACTCCCGCAAGGTCAATAAAGGCTACCTGATAGATTTCAATCTTGCATTGGTGAGTATACCGTGTTGTTGAGTAATGAGTTTCAGTTCTGTTAACATTTTTATTCGTGTTTTTCTGCTTCCCTTTTCAACTAGAATGAGGTCAACTTGATGAATTATTTCTGTTCTACAGGATGTGTGCAAGAAATACAGGATATTTGGTGAGTGTTTGTCACAATTATCTGACCTTGTCATACATCTTTGGTGGGATTTGCCTTTGAGTATTATTTTGCTTGAATATCATATGGAAGTATCGAACTGTTTACAGAAATTTTGTTTGCGCACTAGCTAGTGCGCCTGTAATCGTACAGTAGTTTATATCCCTGCCATGCGTGTTTAAAGTGGACTCTTTTTCTATATTCTACAGATAACACTAAAGCAGGACATAATTCGAATGATCACGTTCCCATTCCCCAGAACAGTTCTTTGCATACAGCAAGAAGTAAGAAGTTAATGAACACGAAATTTCCTGAAGCAGTTGATAGAAATTCAGGGAAAAAAGTCTCCACTTCCCTTTTACCACCTGGCAACCTGAAAAAGAAGGTTGACAAAGCAAAAGTTTTCACCGAAGCAAGCAGCAGGAGAATTATCAGAAGCCAAGGTGGTGATGGATCTGGAATAACTTCCACAAAGGATGGGACAAGCAATAAAACGAGATCGGGAGAAAGGTTAAGAGAGCCCATGCCGAATACAGGGAGGAGTGAATTGTTGAGCCTGGTGCAGGAAGCCCTCAAGGGTGGAAACTATGAATCTGCAACTGCTCCAAAATCTAAAAGGAAACGAGTTTCTGCATCTCCTGGAGATACAGAGAAATCTTCTCTCTATATAACTCCAATGCCACTGCACAACAATGGAGTTGCCATTCGTGGTGCTGGGCAACTGAAAACAAAAGGTTCTAGTTTTTCGGCTCTCATTACTATTTCCTTCATTCTTTTGACTTCAAATTCGGAGCTTGTAAGTTAGGCTATTAAATGATACACCTTACGTTTTTGTACCATCTCATTTGTAGGTGAGGGGAAGTCCAGGCGAGAAGGCCCTTGCGCTGGAACTAAAGGTTTTAAGGCTCCAGAGGTAAAATGCTTGAACCCGCTTGTATGCATTTGGGGATTGAGGACTTGTTCTTAAGGAAAGTCCTATCAATTCTGTAGCTCTGAAATTTGGCCTATAGATCAAATTTCTCTGCATCTAATTCTTTGAGAATGTTGTACTAGGATAAGGTGATTAACCCCTTTTATCCCAAAACTCTTCCTTCTGATTTCTAATACTCTTTCTCCTATTCTGGTGCTATGTTTCCAGAGCCTATATTCTGAATCAATCGATTACCCTCTGTTTCATTTTAGAACTTAGGCAGATCAAAACTGTTTTGGGCATAAAATATATTATTTTGACAGTCTTTGTTACAAGTTCTATGACCATATTACTTCTAACCATGTTCATGGTGTGAGGGAATGGGAACGTGAGACCTGCAATGAAATTCTGACTTACAACATATTATCACCCTTTCAGACCCCTCAAGTAACATATATATATATATATATACGGTTTTGCTATGGAGCCATCGGATGGCTCGACTTATGGAGCCATCCATAGTTATTCACAAATGGTGTATTGACACGTGTCCTGCAATAAATGCACATTGAACACGTGTCGATACATAAAGTTATGGATGGCTCCATAGCATTTCTGTATATATATATATATATATATATATATATATATATGTTGTGTTTAGCCAAGCGTCGGTATATTTTAATATAAATAAGATATAATTATAATTTCTTCTATGTTTCAATCATATATGGACAACATTAGATCCCCACAGAGCATCCTCTGTATTGGAGCTCTTTCATAACTGGAAATGAGAAACTTTCAAATGTACACTTCACATTTACACCACATTGGTACATACACATGATTCTATATACAGCCTACAATGAACCTATGCAGTGACTGATCTTTTTTTCTGGTGCTGTAGTCCCTACACACAATCAAATGGCTCATAAAAGCATGTCACAATGTCTTTTTCCATGTTATATCACAAATATCTTGTCCTGACTTTGGCCAGATAATGAGAAATAAATAATAAATTAGAGAAAGAAATCTCATTTAATATTTTTCAGGGAAGACTTGATTCTCAGGCATCTGAAAATGATTTGAAAATAATTAAATGGTGCCATGCAGGTACTATTCAGATCTCTGCATCAAGGCCCCAAGGTTGATATTTGGTCTGCTGGAGTTACTTTACTGTACCTAATGATTGGACGGGCACCTTTCAATGGTGATGCTGATCAGTAAGAATAAAATTAAACTAGATGCTTAGCACGTAAAATTGTCATTCTCAGTAATAGTTATTAATATACAAATTTCATCTAACCACAGGAACATAAAGGAGATAGCAAAGTTGAGGGGCAGTGAAGATCTGTGGGAACTGGCCAGGCTACACGATCGTGAATCATCTTTTCCAAGGGTAATACACCATTACATGTTTCTAGTTGTATTCTTGTTTATATGAAACAAGATCTATTTTAAGCGAAATACTTGCCATCTACAAAACTCATCTTACCATCTTAATATATGAAACAGGACCTATTTGATGCGAAATACTTGACATCTACAAAACTTGGGGATTGGTGTGCGCGTAATACACGGAGACCAGAATTCTTGCAGGCCATACCAAGGTCACTTTTTGATCTGGTGGACAAGTGTTTAATCGTGAATCCACGACATAGGATCAGTGCAGAGGAAGCTCTTAGCCATGAGTTTTTCAGTCCATGCCGTTACCCTAATGAAATCAAGAGAGCAAAGGCTGTAAAGGCAAGGGATGTTGAGTAGTTTCACCAACAATCCTTTTATTATAATTTTTTCTGTTGTACACTACTAATAGAGTAGGTAATCTGTTGAATTTTGTATAATGTTGCTCTCCCCTGTGTAAAGCTGTAATTTCCTCCTAGGTTTTTATGTCTAAGGTAATTAGTAAAAGACTTTCACATTCTTATTTTTACCTGGAATTGACAAGTACTGTATAAAACAAATGATCTTTTGCAACACATTGAAGTTTGAGGGTGCAATATTTTAAAGAAAAAAATTGAAGTACAACCACATAATACATTGAAAGGGTGCATTTCACTATTGTTGTATTTTTTATAGATTACGGTAAATCTTCTAGGGCTGCAAATATAGGAATTTCATAAAACTATCACCACCAAACAGATCAATACAACAGTAAGGCAGCAGAAGTTAGTACTCAGATACTCATATGTAGAAGAATGTACCCATTAGGCAACAAAACACCAAGCAAAGCACACTAAAGTTCAAATACAGCTAATGCTAGTTTTTCCTTCCTAAGATTCAACTCACGCCTTCTTCTTTTTTGACTTGATCATTACATATCCAATAAACACCGAGAGAAAGCAGATTAGGGTCACGCCTGCGTACACAGGTATGAGAATGGCATATTCCTGAGGAAGAAAGTAGCTGTGCACGAAATGGTCACTGTCCACAAAAGGCTGACAAAAAACAAGAAATAAACATATCATGTCTCACCAAAATAATAACTGTTATATACTTGATCTGTAATAGTTAAAAGGAGATGGTGAAACTAACCAGGATGATAACCCATAAGGTATAATAAGTGAAGATGGACAAGCTGATAATTGATAGAAGTAAGCCGATGGCTCTATCGGCTAGTTCCATTATAGTTCTATTCCTTTGCTAGTTTGCTTCCGATCTTAAAGTCTTGCAAAGAAAAAAAAAATGGAAAACTGTATTCATGCATGAATAGAGAAATCAAGCACCCAAATAAAATCAGTACAAATAATTTACTGATCTTAGGTCCCAAGAGAATGAGAGCACAATGTCGTAACTATTGGACAGTTAATTTGAAAAACAACGCTGCCATCATTCTAAACCTCAAAATCAAATAATGTAGAATTTTGAACCAGAAAAGAATAAATATACGATCTTAGGTCCCAAGAGAATGAGAGCACAATGTCGTAACTATTGGACAGTTAATTTGAAAAACAACGTTGCCATCATTCTAAAACTCAAAATCAAATAATGTAGAATTTTGAACCAGAAAAGAATAAATATGTGCTATGTATCATTATAATGCCGACGTGCAGCAAAACCCTATTGATCGAGTATGTTCGCTCACCATATATATTTTTTATTTGCTGGGCAACTATTAATAAAAATATGTGCTCTAGAAACTTAAGACATGTAATCTCGTTTGAAATGGGTCGGGTGAAGCCATTCCATGACCATACCCGACCCGTTACTCCACTTGGGGACTGTGAAAAAAGAAACCGTGCAACAGCCAACAGTGTTTCATCTTTGATGTAAACTACATATCAGATTATCAGATCATATAACTTTGAAAACTAGGCTTCACAAGAGTTCTGAATTTGGCAATCACCAAAAAATTTAAGCTAAATCAGAACAAGTACAGACTACAGATAGAAACATTCGAATATTTCAGCAGAAGACTCTAATAGTCTAATTCCCATGTACGAAAGAAAAATTAATTCGGACTATAACAGTAAAATCAGAACCCATGGGATACAAACATACAAATTAGCAGATTTTCCGGTCGTCCAGCCGGCGGAGGATGGAGGCTTTTGTCTACTGGGAGTCGTCGCTGAAGATCTCGTCCTCGTCTGAGATGGGGCTGTGAGGGAGGGAATGAAAAGAAATAAATGGAAGGCAAAACAGTGACTTTTACGCTTTACGGTATTGTCGCTTTTGTCTTTTTAACAGAACCAATGAACCCGCTTTTAGTTTTCACAACTATTAATCTATCTCGTGCACATACACAGATAAATAAAATATTATATATAATGTTTAAAAATTTTAAAATTATAGATAACAAACATATCATATTTTCAAGATTTGATCATTATTAAAAATAAAAAAAATATAAACATAATTATTTAAGTATATGTAAATCACTATACTGATTGAAAAAATGTGGGTTATGTAATTTTTACAATTTAGAGGGATCGTGATCAGGAATTTAGTTAAAAAAAATAATATCATCATCATCATCATCATTATTATTATAGGAACAATTGTTTATAAGATTTTATAGTGGTTTGACTATGTTATTAAAAGTTTAAAACTATTCAGCGTATTTTTTTTTTAAGAAAATTGTTTCATGCGATACAAAAAAAAGAAGGTAATATTTATTCTAGAAAAAATAGCTTGAAGAAAAAAATTCACATTAGAATTATTTATACTTATGTAATTTCTATTTAGTGTGGATTGTTATTAGTTGGTATTAGCATTAACTATTATATAATAGTAAAAAATATTTTATTACACTTAATAGGGTGCATAAACGTGAAAAGTAAAAAAATAATAATGATAAAATTTTGTAACCGAAAATAGGGGAAAACTAAAAATAATTTTATTAAATGCACTGCTAGTAATTATATATATATTGGATATAATGTTTTGTTTTTCCTTTTTATTTAAAAAAACAAAAACTATTGCAAAATCATATTTTTTTCAAGAAATATTACTGTAGTAGTAATGTATTATCAATAAAAATGGTTACTTTTAAATTAAAATAATATATTTTATTAATAATATAATTAAATGTAGTATTTCATAGCATAAGTATTTTTATTAAAATAATAAACAAGCCAATCGCCTAATAGGTACACAGCTTCACAACAAAATTTATGATAAAATGAATTTGTTTACGAAAAAATAAATTAAATCTATAACTTGAGAAAAGTGGAATATATTTTTAAAGAGCCTAAAACACATCTCAATTTTGTGAACGAACATGAATAATAAATTTAATAATTAAAATTAATATAATTTAAAATAGTAAAAATATTGATCGATAAAATCAATAGTTATTTATGTCAGATAAATAATGTATTTTGTTTAAAAATATATATTAAGAATTATTATTTATTTTTTAATTGTGTTATTGGAATTATATAGAAAACGTGAAATTAAATAAACAGTTCTTTCTTCAATTTTATTTTAAATTCAATTTTTATGAGATGAATGTGGTAAAAAAAAAATACCAAATCAATCGGGTCGGATCGGAACCCCGACAGCCCATTTGCACACATTTCACGCTCGTCGCGTAACTGCAGACGCTATCCTACACTCTGCAGTCTGCACAGCTCAAGCTGATTCGCTTAACCCCCTTTTCAGTTCTCCCCATTTAATACCAAACCCTAACCCTATTTCTTTCCAATTAACCAGCGATTTGTCTTCAACTCGGTGATCTCTGTACTCGGCGTCTACACAATTGCATTGCGGGCTGAAGAAGGCCGACATGGATCCGCAGGCGAACAATCTCTACGAGACGGCGTCGCAGCCGGACACCGGGAACGACGCATACACGTTTCTGGAATTCAACACTCAGGGCGAGGAGGACTTCGATTACCCTGAATTTCAAGAGCTCCCGCAGCGTATTCGATCATCTGCCACCGCCTGGCCCACACCATCCGATTCCGTGTCAGCTGCGGAGGTTCCTTCCTCATCGGAAGCTTCTCAGTCGTCCAATAAACCCCGTGACCGCGCCAGTGCGGGTGGAATTAGCAACATCAGCGTGAATAATAGTAATAACAGCAAGGAGGCGGGGGTCGTGGAGGCATTGGCAGCAGGGATGGGCGGCCTGAACTTTGAAGACACCGGAGGTGATGATGAGGTCTTCGAGTATGGGGAGGGAGACTTTACCGAGCATGCTTGCAGGTATTGCGGGGTCGCGAATCCAGCTTGCGTGGTGAGGTGCAATGTGCCATCCTGTAGGAAATGGTTCTGTAATTCACGAGGGAATACTTCTGGTTCTCATATTGTCAGTCATCTGGTGAGTATTCTGGACAGCAAACAGTATGCTAGCTAGTCAGTAGTCATGCCTCTGTGTGGGATTTGCATTTATGTACACATATGTGCTATAGATCGCTGAATTTAACTATCCTTTCTAACATGAGATATATTCATGAGTTGGCCCATGCCATCTTATGATTATCTTGTGTTAGGCCCATGTTGGGTCTTTTACGAGAATTACTTTTGCCTTTGGGATCAAATTTGCATTGGTTATTTGGAAGTTAAATCTTATTAATTGTTTGCAGAGTTTTTTTTTTTTTTTTTTTTTTTATAATTATATCTTAAGTATGAGTTACGAAGTAGAAAGATCGTGATATGTTTATGTGAACCATTTTGCTGTTTTTGTGACTTGATTATGTTGAACCCAGAACACTGTTATTGTTTTTGTGCATGTGGCCTGTGATTATGTGAAAAGTAATACATGCATAAGTATCTAATACTTATTCTGCTGTGGGAAAAAAGTGAACCTACGTAAGGGTTTTTGTGGGCATTTCTTTTTGAAGATCACTCTGACGAACTATGGTAATAATCATTTTCAGTATGTCTGACATGGCACAGTTATTTCTTGATCCATATCCTTCTATAAGGGCAATCTTGCTACAGCTGACAACGGATTTATACATATTTCTGTGGGGCTCGCTGAGTTGCTGTTATGATTGTTTTTCTGTATAGTGTATTGAGGGTTCCTTATTTTGTTTCTAAAAATGCTGGCAATAGACTGGCGGTTTTTATATATCTGCATGGTACGCTCTTTTCTGATTTGTCTGTTTTGATGTATTTTAGGTGAGAGCCAAGCACAAGGAAGTTTGCCTTCACAAAGACAGTCCCTTGGGAGAAACGATTCTTGAGTGTTATAACTGTGGTTGTCGAAATGTTTTCCTTCTTGGGTTTATATCTGCAAAGACGGAAAGTGTTGTTGTTCTCCTCTGTAGGGAACCCTGTCTGAGTGTTAATGCACTAAAGGACATGAATTGGGACCTGAGTCAGTGGTGCCCGCTAATTGATGATAGATGTTTCTTGCAGTGGTTATTAAAGGTTGGGTATTCTTATATTTGTTGTGCTGGCATAAACTTTATATCCCTATTGTGGGGTTCTTAAGATATTGCAAAAGCAGGTCCCATCTGAACAAGAACAGTTGAGGGCTCGACAAATTACTGCCCAGCAGATAAATAAAATAGAAGAGCTTTGGAAAACAAATCCTGATGCAACTTTGGAAGATCTTGAGAAGCCTGGCGTGGATGATGAGCCTCAATCTGTAGCCTTGAAATATGAAGATGCTTATCAGGTGCTGTTAGTGAGATTAGTTATTTCTAGCTAATAGGCTTAAGGCAATTTGCTTGTAGTTTCCACACAATGCATATTTTACCATGCTCCCTAGACTGATTATATTGCTGCTATGTCGTCTCCAGTATCAAAATGTTTTTGCCCCTCTCATCAAGCTTGAAGCAGACTATGATAAGGTATGGCTGTGTCATCATGCTGCTATGAATTTATACTGCCTCTGAGAGCGGAGTAAAAACTTTCTGTTATGAACTCAATGCTTTGGCTAAGGACTTATTATGAGATTTTCTTGGTTATCTTACATTTTCTGCTATAAAAAGTAGTGAGAAATTAAGCACACTCACAATGTAGTTAGTGGGTAATTAGGCATAAGTATATCAATGCGATTTCCTGAAAAGGAAATATAAGCATTCAGTTGTAGACTGATAAAGCATATTGTGGGAAAATGGATAATTTTAATGTCAATGGCTGTTTGCAGATGATGAAAGAGTCTCAAAGCAAAGACAGCATAACAATTAGATGGGATATTGGTCTTAACAAGAAGCGGATTGCTTATTTTGTCTTTCCTAAGGTAACATATTTCACTGTTTGTTAAGTATGGTATATATTAATTTATCAATTTAAGAATGCATTTTTCCTGTAGGAAGATAATGAGTTGCGCCTTGTACCTGGTGATGAGTTACGCCTACGATATTCAGGTGATGCGGCTCATCCCTCCTGGCAGTCCGTGGGTCATGTGGTACGGTATTTTTCTTTGAACTCTTTTGCTTATCTAATCTTGCATCAAACTTTTGCATTTTGGATTATATGGCCATTTTTGCATACCTGCCTTGGTGGGCCTAATCCATTTTTGCATCGCTTCTTTTGCATAATGGTCTTATTTTGTTTGGTGGACAGTGGGCCTGACTCACATTTGCCCTTAGTGGGCCTAATCTATTTTTACCTTTCAAAGCATGTTGAGGATATGGATTTTTCCTTTCAGATAAAATTGACTGCACAAGAGGAGGTTGCTCTTGAACTTGTTACAAGTCAGGTATGTTTGAATACAATTGCATGTCAGCATGCGCTGGTTGACAATTGTTCTCAAAAACAAGGGAAAATCTTATTCGTACCAGGGTGCTCCTGTGGATGTGAACCATGGTTTTAGTGTTGATTTTGTTTGGAAGAGCACGAGTTTTGACCGGATGCAGGGGGCCATGAAGACTTTTGCTGTGGATGAAACTAGTGTCAGTGGGTAAGTACAAAAGTTATTTTCTGTTGATGACTCTGGCTCGGTCAGGGTTGTAAAATATTATAGATGAAGAAACAAAGATTAATTATCACCTGCACAGCTGCACTAGCCTAGGTAACTGTGTTGAGAAGATTCTCACCATCAGTCTCTCTCTGTGAGAATTTATTGGAAAGAATGAATGTATATTCCAACGACCATACAACAACAACAACATAGCCTTTAGTCCCAAGCAAGTCGGGGTAGGTTAGAGATGAAACCCAAGAGAAACACAAAAAGACTCAACCGAAAGGAAGAGATCGAAAAAAAAAAAAAAATAGAGAGAAAAAGGAGCAAAAGTCACGNAAAAACGAGAGAGAGAGAAATGAGCAAAAGTCACGGTTCTGGCTAACGACCATGCTTTATGAAATTGACTATTCGACTGGAGAAAACTTGAAGAGCAAAATGTTCATATTACTTTTGTTCTTTATGTTAGTCTTTAGGTGATGATGCCGGCTTGGAGCTTTATCCAATCTTTATTTTGTGCTCTATAAAAATGATACTAACATGTTATCTACTGTTATCTATTACTATGTTGATAATTATCCATCACGGTGTTTGAGTAACAAAGTGCTTGATATAATATATGATTTAGTTCTTGCATTTATTTTTATCTTAAGGTGTCAGACGTTGGTGTGATTTGAGAGATGAGTTGTCAATTATTTGGAATATACGGTTCTTTTTCTGGATCAAATAGTTTGTAACATCATATACTCTGGTTTGCTTCTGGTCTCATATCTTTGTCTAATTGTTTAAATGCTGTTGCACATATGCATGCAGGTACATTTATCATCATCTGCTTGGCCATGAAGTTGAGATGCAGATGGTTCGCAATACTTTGCCTCGTCGATTTGGTGCACCTGGTCTTCCAGAACTTAATGCATCTCAGGTAAGGCAATATTCTTTAATATCATATATATATGTAATGCTATGTTGGGTTGGATGCTTTGGTTGCATGTGGGATATTTTTCACGTTCTCATCCTTGGTAGTCCGCTCGGTGATGCATATAAGTTTCTGTTATAAGTAATTGTTAGGTTGGCCAATAGTGCTGCTAACCTGTTGATAGGTTACTTTGTTTTTGGTTGGTGTATGAGTAGGAGACGGGTTTTAACATTGTATGATGGGTAATGTAAAGTAGTTGGAGTCAATTTCTTTATGGGAAGATTAGAAGAAACAAAGCCTTTTCTTGAATATTGTAAGAGTAATCAAATACTATTGATGTATGCCAAAAATGAGCTGTTAAGGGGGCGATTGTATACAAATTGTACAGTAAAAAAACTAATCAAAACTCAAAGTTAACTCACTTTTAACTCAACTACACTATCTCCAACATTATCAATATAATTAAATAATATCAGCCAATCATTCTTACACATCACATCAACTTTAATTCACTATTCATCTACTCACATAATTTTAACTAACTATCACTTTTAATCATTTTCTCCTACTTTTACATCAAATCAACTTTAATTATTTTATTTTAAATATTATTTTAATATATCCACTAACAACTAACCATAACACCTTTTTTCAAACTTAACTATAGTTAAAAAATAATTAGTTTTTTACTAGTTGAATTCATATCCAATCATCCCCTAAAGATGTATATTGTGCTGTGTGTTGTATTTCTGTTTATATTTATTTTTTCCTTATCATGACTTGGCTTATAGGTTTTTGCCGTCAAGAGTGTCTTACAAAAGCCTATTAGTCTCATCCAAGGTCCACCTGGAACTGGTAAAACTGTGACATCTGCTGCTATCGTTTATCACATGGCAAAACAAGGCCAGGGGCAGGTTGAGTTACTTTTCTAGTTTCTATGTGTTGGGGAAGATACTATTTAGGCTAGCATACTGATTATGTTTCTGTTCTCTTATTTATAATTAATTTTTATGTCCAGGTTTTGGTCTGTGCTCCAAGTAATGTGGCTGTTGATCAACTTGCTGAAAAGATAAGCGCCACTGGTTTGAAGGTTTGCATATTGCTAATTTTTAACTGATTATTTAATCTCTGACCAACCAATTGCACTCAGATGTGAAATATGTTCCTGACTAATATATTTGATCCTTAAATGGGTGACCAACATCCATGATTAAGAAACTCTGTTATCTGAAAGTGTAGTATGGATCTACAAAGGTTTGTTAGAGGATGATGTGGGCTTGCTCACTCATGAAAATTCTAATTATTTTTTGGGGGAGAGTAAACTTGCTCTGAATCTATGATTGTTTAGGAATTAAATTGTTATCTTACCTTCCCATTGCAATTCAATAATACAGAAAACATCGCTGCGTTTGTCAATTGTAGTCATTGTATTCTCTTCCGAGTTCCGACAGAAAAATTATTCACAGAAGATTTTTTACTTTCGATGTAAAATGGTATCTGATTCTGATACTATATATGAATTATGAACTGAAGAATGCCAGATCAACTGTTGTCATTGAACTATTATCTGCATTCATTTACATTTTGTGGATCCCTTCTCATTTTGTAGACAACCATTTGATCCTTTTTTTTTTCTTTTCTCTATAATTATGAAATGTACCCAGTGTAAGGGATAAAATTTCACATCCTTGTACCTTTTTTCCTTTATTTGCTTGAAAGGTTTCATTAGTCAGTTATTATCTTGGTTTTTCTATAGCAATTTACTTGACTGATGATATCACTTGTCAATTTGAACCTTGCTCTCCGCGCAATTCTTCTCACCTTTTTAGTATTAGATATCTGAAGAGATCAAATGCCTTTATTTAATATTTCTTTATACATGGTAAGGTGGTAAGATTATGTGCAAAATCAAGGGAAGCTGTTAGTTCTCCTGTTGAGCATCTAACATTGCATTATCAGGTACTGTAAATAATGGAAAGTCTGTGTCTGGTGTTTTTTGTCTTATATGTCCAGTTATGGATACTTGTGGATGCTTTTCAATATGTTGTCCACAGGTCAGACATCTAGATACATCTGAAAAGAGTGAGCTCCACAAGTTACAGCAACTGAAAGATGAACAAGGTCTTTTCTTGTTTATTATACCTTTTTTTTTTCTATTTCTTTACTGTGGGTTTGAGCCTTTTAAAATTTTTAAATATTGCTGGGCGTTTCAGTTAGGATTTTTTTTTATTGCATTTTCTACCATGAAAATTAAACATAATTCATTGTTGAACATGTTTAGATCAAACAAAATAGACAGGCTTGGTGAAGCAGTGTGCTAGGGAGTCCTATTATGTGGTTTGAGTTGGAGAATATTTAGGACGATTCCTGCTCTTTTGACCTGTTATGATCTTATAGTATTTTGGCACTTGGCACACTTGATGCCAATGAGTTACAATTCAGAAAGTATGAAGTGATAAATAATAATGTTGCAGTTATATTTTGTATTAACTTGTAATTATGCCTAAATGAAAAATTGCAAATGTCAGTGGTGAGAAAGTGAGTGAGAAGCAGCAATTTAGGTTAGTTAAGTACAATAATTTTTGCACTTGCTTTTGGAGGTGTTTTATTGCCAAACCAAGCAGCAATCGTAGGGAACTCTTCTACGGTATGCGAGTATAAATAGTGACGTGATATGTGGTGATTCCCCATTTTTCCTTTATTTTGCAGGAGAATTGTCCAGCAGCGACGAGAAAAAATACAAAGCACTCAAGCGAGCCACTGAAAGGGAGATATCTCAGAGTGCTGATGTTATCTGTTGTACATGCGTTGGGGCTGGGGATCCTCGGTTAGCTAATTTTAGATTCCGCCAGGTAAAATAAAATGTTGCTAACATTAGAACTTGTTTGATTGGGAGGCACGGGGTGAGGGGTGGATGTGCGCAATTAGTTATATACCCGGTTATTTTGTGTTTTCAAATCCAATATTATTTTCCAGGTTCTTATTGATGAATCAACCCAGTCAACAGAACCTGAGTGTCTTATTCCATTGGTTCTTGGAGTAAAGCAGGTAATTAGTGAGGTTGGCTTTGTTACATATTTTATTATGTTGTTGTAACTCTACTAACAAGATTTCTGCAGGTTATTCTTGTGGGAGACCATTGTCAGCTTGGTCCTGTCATTATGTGCAAGAAAGCTGCTCGGGCTGGGTTAGCCCAATCTCTGTTTGAGAGACTTGTGCTTCTTGGTGTGAAACCGATTAGGTTGCAGGTAATTTTATGCTCCTTTTCATTTTAACGAGGTGCCTGTACTCTTTATTGAATTGAATATCTCCAGGCCTTAAGAAATGTTCAATGTTTGCCGACTATGCTATTTCACACGGACCTTATTTTTACTTAGCTGCATTCTCCCTCTTTGTTACTCCTTCATTATGTTTGTCAGAATAGCATGTCTCTTTTACCGTGTGTGTGCGCAATGAGATAATGTGAGCTGTATTATGAAATATACTGATGTTATGAACGAAAAAACAAGATATTTGTTATGTGTTTGTGATTAAGTTAGTGAAACTGGAGATGCATTTGATGTTCTTGTCTATATAAAAGAATTATGCGTGTAGTGTGTTAATATTGTTATTTCTATATATAGTAGTAGAGAGGGAGCCATTAACCCATACATCTGAATGTTTCTCCAGGTCCAGTATAGGATGCATCCCGCTCTTTCAGAGTTTCCTTCTAATAGCTTTTACGAAGGTACTCTTCAAAATGGAGTGACAATAAATGAAAGGCAATCACCTGGCATTGATTTCCCTTGGCCAGTGCCAAACCGTCCCATGTTCTTTTATGTCCAGGTCATCTCCTTTCCCTTGTTGAATACGGATATTCAGAATCATTTAGGGCGTGATTGTATATGAATTGTACAGTAAATATCTCAATCAAAACTCAAATTTAACTCTACTTTAACTCAACTTCACTATCTCCAATATTATCAATATAATTAAATAATATCAACCAATCATTATTACACATCACATCAACTTTAATTCACTATTCATCCACTCACATAATTTTAATTAACCATCATTTCCAATCATTTTCTCATACTTTTACATTAAATCAACTTCAATTATTTTAATTTAAATATTATTTTAATATATCCACTAACACCTAACCATACTACTTTTTTTTAAATTTAACTAAAGTTAAAAAATAACCAATTTTTTACTAGTTGAATTCATATCCAATCACCCCCTTACAGCTTTTTTTTATTGCATTTACTGGATGGTTGGAAATTGTTACGTGGTGCTAGTTGTCTATGGAATAATTTTTTTGGTCTGAGTTACTGAAACGGAGGGCTGCTAGTTCTTTTTCTTTGATTTAACCTGGTACATCTCTCTATGTCTTTTATTCCTGTGTGTCCAGGGGGTTAGGGCTGGGGCGGGAGATTTTCTCTTAGGTTGCATATTTGTGCAGATTTACCTACTTCCGCATATGTTGCATGTTGAGCTGATGTACCTACCTAGTTCTATTTCTTCTTGACCTTGTTAGTTGACTTGTATAGATGGGACAAGAGGAGATAAGTGCTAGCGGAACATCATATCTAAATAGGACTGAGGCTGCGAATGTTGAGAAAATTGTGACCACTTTCTTGAAGAGTGGTGTTGTTCCTAGTCAGGTTCACTGAAACTTCTTTAATCCTCAAGTTGATTTACTGTTTTGCTTTGTTTCATAAACAATTTTTGGTTGCTGGTGTTACACAGATTGGTGTCATTACACCTTATGAAGGTCAACGAGCATACATAGTGAATTATATGTCCCGAAATGGTGCTCTACGACAGCAATTATACAAAGAAATTGAGGCAATTACACAAAACAGATTTTGTTCAATTTATACGTGTTACTGGGTTGGAAGAAAAAATTGATATTTCTTTCTCAGGTGGCAAGCGTAGATTCATTTCAAGGCAGGGAAAAGGACTATATAATTTTGTCTTGTGTTAGGAGTAATGAACATCAGGTGGGTTACTAATGCTTGTATAGCGTATTGCTGCTGACAATTTCTCATACCTTGTTCCTTGATCTAATCACACTTTGGCCATCATCAGGGCATTGGTTTCCTCAATGATCCACGCCGACTTAATGTTGCCTTGACACGTGCTCGTTATGGTATTGTCATCTTGGGAAACCCTAAGGTTCTCAGCAAGCAACCTCTTTGGAATGGCTTATTAACACACTACAAGGTATCAGCTTGCTCTATATCTTGTTTTTCTTTTTGTATACAATGATTTGTTGATTTTAGCTACTCCGAGACTTCAAGATAGATACACATTTAAGCTGACTACATTTAATTAGTTGGTGACTTTGATTCTCAGTCATTTTGTGCTATTGTATCCTTGTATTACTTTCAAATTCTTGAGTCATTAATTTTTTTTTTTTAAACTATTGTTATTATTATCTTTGTCCATTGCAAATGGAGCTGGAAGAGTCATTGTTGACAATTCTCCTGGCATAGTGCTAATAATGGACTAGATCAAAATGGCTCAATTAAATTCTAGTGCTTCTTCTATTAGTGAAGTTTCTTAAAAAAAAAATATATATTAAACAACCTCCTTGTATAATTACAAGGGTAAGGTCTGCGTACAACTGACCCCCCAGACCCCAACCTGTTGGGAATATACTGGGTATGTTGTTGTTGTTGTTGTATTGTTATTATTATCGTCATCATCACCATCATTATAACTTTATAAAGTAATTCTATTCGCTCTAAAATTTTGGTTTATAAGGAGCACGAATGCTTGGTCGAAGGACCTCTGAATAACCTAAAGCAGAGTATGGTTCAATTCCAGAAGCCCAAAAAGGTAAATGGCTAAACTTATAAATCAACTTTCACAGATCATCTTTTTAGTGCTTTTAGTTGGTTTAGTTTGGATTCTTTACATGTATTATGTGGTCAACGTGTCCAGATATACAATGAACGGAGACTTTTCTATGGTGGGGGACAAGGACTTGTTCCCAACGATGCTTTTGGATCTGCTGCCTCGAGTCCAACTGGTGACAGGAGGGGTCCTCGCTCCAGAGGTGGGATCCTACTAATTTGTTCATAAATTGCATCTGAGTCGACCATTATCTTAACTGATTTTACTTTGAGCAGGTTCATACATGCCACCTGGCCCACCCAATGGTGCTCATAAGCCTGGTATGCATCCTTCTGGTTATGCACTGCCTCGGGTACCCCTTCCTTCATACCCTCCTTCACAACCTTATGCCATTCCCACTCGTGGTGCTGTGCATGGACCTGTTGGAGCCGTAGCGCAAATCCCACAGCCTGGAAGCAGAGGATTTGGTGGTACTGGGCGTGGAAATTCCAGTGCGCCAATAGGCAGTCATCTTCCGCAACAGCAAGGCATGCAAGCCCCCATTGGAAGTGCTTCTAACTTCAATTTCCCATCTATGGAGAATGCTGGTAGTCATGCTGGACCACTGTCTCAACCTGGCTACATTTCTAATGTTAGTTGCATCACAAGATTTTTTTTTTTTTTTTTTTTTTTTTTTTTTTTTTTNTTTCCTTTTTCCTCTGGATTGTGCCATTACATTCTTTAAAGTAATTTGATAGAATTCTATTTGCCGAACTGCAGGTGACGGGCCAAGGGCCTAGCCAAACTTATAGAGATGGATTTTCTATGGGTGGCATGTCTCAGGTTATTTATAATGAATTTTGACTTATAGATGAATGTTTCCATTGTTTTCCTGTATGCTGAGTATTCATCTGCAAAACAGGAATTCTTGGGTGATGATTTTAAAAGCCAGGGGTCACATGTCCCTTATAATGTTGCTGAATTCTCTACACAGGTCTGTGTTCTTTTTGTTCGTTTGCACTAGAATATTCATTTTTCATCGACTCATTCTTGACATAGTGATGACACTCCTTAAACGAGCGAGGAATGACTTTGTAGGCTTCTCCGGGTGGATATGCTGTTGACTATGTTGCACAAGGTGCTCAAGGTGGGTTTCCTGGGAGCTTTCTAAACCAGAATTCTCAAGCTGGATATGCTCGTTTTGCCCCAGGAAATGACTACATGTCTCAGGTTTGAATAGGAACTTTGTTTTTTTGCCTTTTGCATGTCTGCATCAGGCTTTAGCATAACTCATTTTTGCCTTGCACCCGTCTTTGGGAATAAATTGTCTTTGCAGCTTTAAGTAACAGTTGTTTTTATTCTATTGTATGTTTAAAGAAAGGTAATATTTTGGTCTCATTGGTAAGGCTGACAATAGATTCTAGAGAAATGGTATGATTCAACAAATTCGTTTCTATTATTAAATTCTTAAATGTCGTTTTATGACTGAAATTGTCAAATCTCATTCTATTCGTTTTCTAGACTATTCAATGGTAACATTTTTTCACTGAACTTTAAAATTTAAAAATAAAAAATTTTAAGTAGTCATTTTATTTTTAAAAAACTGGTAATTTATCTCTTCTCTTAATATCTATTTATTTTTCAAATATTTATTCAGTTTAAGAGAACCATGTTAGCTGTAACATTTTGTCTTTGAGGCTTTGACGTACCTATCACATTAGTTTAGCTTCTATAGAAAAGTCCTTTTCCTTTTTTTAATTCTTTTAATGTGGGAGCATACAATAGTAAAAAACAAGTGGGTTCATGGTGTGATTATTTTATAGAACTACATAAACATTTTTTGTCATATGAACTCACTATAGCCATTAAAAGGCAAGATCTTTCTGGTTACATTCTTTTACATTTTTTGGTCTAGATTTGTTTAAATGCATATATTTTATTTTTGTAGTGTAAATGGTAAAATTTGTTACTGCTGAAGTTTTATTCAAATTCAGCAAGGAAATTTCCTTCTAAAGAATGGAGGAAATCCTCTTTCGGAGATGATATTTCTCCAGCTACAACCATACTTGTTAATGATATGTTTTTGCAGTTCTGTTCGTCATTATTTCTGCTGTTCGTTTGTTAAACAACTTGATATTATTTCTGCTGTTTGTTTGTTAAACAACTTGATATCTGTTTCAGGAGTATATGGCCCAAGGTTCACAAGGATTGTTTACACAGGGTGCATTCAATGATCAGTCTCAAGAGGATGCTTCTCAAAATCACTTTGGTTTGGCAAGTACCAATCTTCAGTCTCAGGTGCATCTCTCTAGCCACACACACACACACACACAAATATATACTTGATATTGTTTTTTGCTTTTTAACTTACAAAGGTGAATCCTCTTGCTTGCTTTTCCACAGAATTTGCTCAATCCCATGTATTCACAGCCATTTACACACTACAACAGTCAGCCTTTAAATGTACAAACTTCTTCTCAGCAACAGAATTCACCACAGCAGCCTCAAGGTTCCCAAAATCATAAACTACACTACAACGGTTGAATTTCTGACCAGTTATAATCTCTGGACATTCAGAATACTGGCTTGTCAATACTATCTGCTCCAAGGATGGTTCTAAAGCTTGGGAAGATATCGGGCCAACTGATGACACAAGTTTTTGGTGGATGATTATTCTGAAACAAGAATCAAATTTTTAATTTTTGACTAGAAGAATGTTGTCTCGCTTGAAGAAGTTCGACTCAGCTGCACAGCTTGAGCTGAGAAAACAGCTAAACCAATTACGGCATTCAGAATGTTGTTTGCAGCTACTGCATGCTATGAATTGAGGTATATATATATATATATATATATCCAATTATCCATACAACGTGCCTGAATAGTGGATTGTTGCTGCTCATCTGTACCGACATGTAATTAATTAGTCATTCTCTTATACACATTTGTTAAGTTGAATGATGATAAATATATGTATTTGGAGTATTAGTGAGTCCAGCAGTACTGTTGTCGTTTGGCTAGACCTAATATGTTATAATATGAGTGTTTTGTGGAAGTTGGTGGACTTTGGATGGGAATCATCGTGGGCTCGTGGGGAGTCATAAGTTCTATACTTCTATGCCCTCGCTGAGATTTTTTGAGTTGATTTTTGCCGCGCAAAAGCTCATTTTTAAGCACTATTTATTTGATGCAGAGCAATAAAAAAAGGCTCTCACCTAGGTGATTAACTGTTTTGGTCGTGCCGTATCGTCTAGCTCTAGTTAGTTAGTTTTTTCGAGGTACCATAATGAGATTATGATAGGATGTTAATCAAGAATAATAATATTTATTACTAAGAATGAGAATAATATCTTATCATAATGAGATTATGATAGGATGGTATATATCGAAATCAAGAAATAAGACTATCTAATTTTCTTATCATTTGAGATTATAATAGAATATTGACTTGGGAAAACGAAAAGATCTGACAGAGCCTCAAACTTCAAAACCTTTGAGGAAACGCTTTGTCTGAAATTTGATGATTGGGATCTCATCTATTCTCAGTTCTCATAAAAAGGGTCTGGTTTTTAAACGGGAACTCATCTAATCTTAGTCTTGGCCTTGGTTGGATTTTCTTCATCAAATGCTTTACTAAGTTCTCAAGGAATATTATGGATTCTACTTATGTAAATTGCTACCTCATGGAATATTAATGCTCCAAAATCAACATCTTGTGGATAATATATCCACTCCGTAGTTTTATCGGCGGCCTAACTAGGCAAATAAGCAAAGGAATTAGTGTGACATCCACCCAAATCATGTCAAATTGGGCAGCAGCGGAGCAGGCACAATGCTTTGGGTATATTTAAAAAAATTTACATGCCACGTAAAAAATTGACCCAGTATAAAAAGAATATTCTTCAATGCAAACAAAAATGAACTGAGTCCTGATGTGGTAACTAGAAAAAAAGATTCAATTTACCGTTAATTCTATTTTAGAGTCAAGTAGAGACTTGATTTCTTTGTATTATAATGAATTTAGCTACTTTTATTTAGTTTTATTCATGTTATTCAACACTTGAGTTTATATTCATGCCATGTAAGCAAAATTACACCAAAAGCATTATATATGTTCTTAGCTAAGTTAAGGTTGGAGAAAAAAAAATCTATATAGTTACATTTATGTAGTTTTCAAGTTAATTATCTTAAAGGTGCAGAATTTGGAGGATAAATAAATAATTTAGTAGTTTTCAAGTTAATTGTTAACTAGTCCAATATCTGTAAAAAAACATTGGTACAAGCAGGACGAGGTACTGAACATACAGCTTCGCGTTCACACTAGGGACGGTACCAGTAATAGTGTGAACGCAACGCTGTATGTTCAGTACCTCGTCCTGCTCTAAACAAGTTAATTATTAACTAGTACAATACTCGTGATTACGATGCATGTTAGTTAAAAATTTATACTTAAACTCTTAAAATAATGTAAGAGATATTTTTTTTTTGTTTATATTTCAAATACTTTTTAAAAAATTACATTTTTATTTATATTTAAAATAATTTTTTTACTTATATGATTTGTCCACCTTATATTATAATAAATTTTATAATTAATATGTACGACTTTATAGGTGACTTTTTCAATTGATAAATAGTTCTTTTAATTTTTATTATTAAATAATTTAATGTCATGATAAAGAATAATAATATTATTTATTTATTTTATAATATGAAATATAGATGTCAAATCGAAACTCGTAAAAATATGATTGATTTCATATATTATATACGAAAATATGATAACAAATAAAAAATTTGTTAACTTCCAATAATATTTATAATCTAAGTAAGTTAAATGTTTTATAATTCTAAATGTCGTAATAGGTATTAATAGAATTCATATCTACTGGGCGACTTCGAATCACACGAGCGTATCATACAATGATGATAAAAAATTCATAACTAAATTTTAAAACTATACATAACATGTAGTCGTTTTAAATCATTTTTACAAATATAGATTATTATTTATATTTAAAATGAAACTTATCACGTGATAGTATGATATTTTTTTTCTTTTTTGAGTTTTATTATAGTAAATTTTTTAACTCAGATTATATAATAATTTAATAGATAAGTTTCTTTAATTAATAAATATTTTTTATTTATCTATTAATATTGATATATAATTTAACATATATTATAAAGGCATATATATATATATATTTATACAATTTAAATATCAAATTGAAGTTCATGATACTAGTAATTTGGTATATCCTATATGAAAATATGATAGCAAATACAAAAGTTATTAAATTTTAAAATAGATTTATAGTATAAGTGGTCAAGTGTTTTCTAATTTTAAAAGTCTTATTATGCATGAGAATAGATCATTTTTACTACTCCAAAGTCCAAACAAAAAACATAGGACTACGAATCACTATGGGGGTGATTGTTTATCAATTCATCTAGAAATTAATTGGTTTTTTTTAACTATAGTTACTTTAAAAAAAAGTTAGTATGGTTAGTTGTTAGTGGATATATTAAAATAATATTTAAAATAAAATAATTAAAGTTGATATGATGTAAAAGTAAGAGAAAATGATTGGAAGTAGTGGTTAGTTAAAATTATGTGAGTGGATGAATAGTGAATTAAAATTGATGTGATGTGTAAGAATGATTGGTTGGTATTAATTAATTATATTGGTAATAATGGAGATAGTGGAGTTGAGTTAAAATTGAGTTAAATTTGAGTTTTGATTGGTTTTTTTTGAATTGGGTTGATAAACAATCACACCCTATATAATTCGAAACGTATTACAGAGAACCAAAAATTACTACTTTAACATATAGAGTGGGATATTTTTGATAATTTTTGTATACATTTTTTTTTTGTTGTATTTTTTTTTTAAAATTATAATACTTCATAACAGTCGTATAAATTTGGACATTTATTCATAATTATTAGATTTTAAAATTTATAAAACATATCATCAAATCACGCTAAATTAATTAGTTAAATTACACAAATCCAAGTTATTATCCAATTTCACCCTTTTAATATCTTTTTACGAAATTAAATCGAGAGGAGTTATATACACTATACAGTAGTTGGGGTCACCGGAGTGGTGGTCTATATTTGGATTTGGATTCCTGCAAAAGGAGCCCTCGCCTTGAAAAAGCTTCAAATTAGATGGCGGCCTCGCCAGCAAAGAGCACCGGCGCCGCCGCGGACTCTCTGACGCCCTCGAGCTCCAACGCGTCGAAGGGCCAGCGCGGCCTCAACAAACCCAAGTGCATAAAGTGCGGCAATGTCGCTCGTTCCAGGTACGCCGCCGTCTCCCTTTCCGCCTTAACCGCCCTTCCTGTGATCTCCATTCGTTTAGTTCATCTAGGGATTTTTTGGTTGTGGTGCTATTCGTCTTAATACATACGTGTGTTGTACCTCATGCTTCCGGAAGTTGTACCTGTGGTGTGTCACCGCAGGGCGCAGAGGTTTCAGTTACGCTTGTGAGTCTGCCAGAAAATTGTGTATGAACAGATGTCTTACTACGTTTGCCTCATCCATGTTCTAGTCACCTTTGTTTTTTCTCCTGGTCGTTGAGTGGGATGAGTATTGTTATAATTTGTAACGGAATATGCTAATTAGGATACTTTACCACCACAGACCTTAAATTGTGACATCCAAAATGGTATTATGTACTTATGAGATATAATTTTTGGTCTGCCAACTCTTTGTTTATTGACTGCAGTTAAATTTGTTTAATGTTGTGGGAAATATTGGTGCTGTATGATTTGCTGCTGTACTGAACAGTCAACAGCTAAATGCATAAAGCTTAATGTTGATGGCAACCCTTGAGTTATACGAGATACTGGAATTGTTTTCAAATTACCATATCGGGTACATATGCATATCACTTGGTCCTTCACCTTGTTTTTCGCAGATACTGGAATTGTTTTCAAATTATCATATCGGGTACATATGCATATCACTTGGTCTTCACCTTGTTTTTCGCGCTCAAAACCTAGGGGTTAAGTCATCGCAATTTTTATGGAGCATACAAACTTATGAAGACGGGCAAATATGTTAAGTGTGGGAGGTCCAGGACTAAAGTCTTGTTGAATACTCTTCACTCGACATGTTGAGATGCCTATGACCAAATTATCATGGTGGAAATAATTTACGTGACTAACAATTTACTAGTAGCAGTCATAGGACCAAATATGAGAGTATGAGACCTACTTATAGTTTCTGAACCAGAAAAAAGTAATTTTAAAGCGATTTATTTACCGGGTTGCTAATGTATGCATGGATAACTGCGATGCATTTTAATTGTGAATTCTGCTTCAAAAGTGTAACCGGATGCAAACTTGATTCCCAAATTTCTTTTTCTTTTTTCCTTTTATTGTCTAGTTCTACCTTGTATTGCATGTTCAAGATCTCTTAGATTGATAATTTGTGATGCATTTTTGAATCTGGGTTATTAATTAAAGTAGAAATTCTGTTTGAAACTACTTCATGTTGTATTCTCTGGGTGTAAAGTTGGAGACATGCTCACCATGTCAACTTTGACATGTATTTCTGGTCATTAGTTTTTGCTGTATATGGTTCAATCAACCTTAAGTTGGCTGTACAGCGAGATGCCCTTATTGATGTGCTTTTGAAAAAAATGTAGGTCAAAATACTGGTCTGTCTTCATAACTGGAAACAAGCTAT